TCTCAGGATCGCCCTCTAGACAAGCGAAGGCTTGGTTGCAGCAGGTCAGGGATGGAGGCACGAAACAGGCTTCCGCTGGGCACCAGCCGACACCAAACTCACGGCCAAACCGACTGTCGTCATATTCCCTTGTGCTGCCAAAAGCAGCCCGACGAAACCAGGTGCGACTCCGGACAGCAGTTTCTATTCGACCACCACAGGCCTCTCGCCCACCAAAGGCAGTGATGCCCCGGAAGAGGCAAACATCACACGCAAGCGGTGTCCAAAGTACGTGGAGCTATCAACGCTTATCTCCGTAAAAGCTGACACAGATGCAACCATATACCGCTTAACAAAGCCAAAGCCTCTGAACCGGACTGAGTCAGATGTGCGGAGACAAGCAGCGAAGCCAATCTCCAGCTCCGCTCCGTCAAAAGCGGCCTCTCTGTTTGTGGACACAACCGTCGCCAAGGATCCCGACAGCCAAAGCCATAAACGTGACTACAGCCAACCAGAAAGTCCCTCGCACATCCGGTTGGCCACGCTAATCGCCGGCGGATCGGGTGTCCACACAAACACAAAGCGACTGCAGCCAAACACGCCACATAAAGTTCGCCCGGTTAGAAAACTGCCGGCCGGCACATAAACACTTGAGCTATTCTCCTCTAACTACCACTTCACTCATCTACTGTTCGGTGACTTCAACGCTTCAAAGGCCTCCTGGATGGAGCTCCAGCGCGTCGAGCCAGGCGGACTTTTGCAGCGGCGCTGATTGAAGTCGTTCAACAGAGCGCTTGGACCCAACACGTCGTTGCACCCACCAGATACCGCACAGGCAAACTACCATCCCTCCTGGATTTGGTCATCACCAACGAAAGGCGCTTTGTTGATCAATTAACAATTAGGGCTCCACTGGGACATAACGATCACAGTGTGTTGACCTTTGATTTCATCTCCCATTGGCCAGAAATCCCAAACCTCAAACGTGGTTTCGAGACTTCTGCCGTGCAGACTTCTCAGGATTGCGCATCTTCCCTGAACGAGGCACACTGAGACCAGCTCCATTCGAGCAAATATACCGGACAATTGTCCAGAAAGTTCACGAGGCTGACGCGACGTTCGGCCTAAAAACACCACGCACTCGGATGAACCGCGGGCTGCCAAAAGGGATCCGGCGACTTCTGGAAAAAGGGTCCCAACTCTTTTTCAAAAAGTAGACTACGGGGGATACAGAAGATGAGCTGGCATTTCGTAAGATGCGAAACCGCTGTAAACCGGAAATCCGCCAATGGAACATACGAAAACAAGCCACCATTCTGGACCTCGCTCGAAAAAACAAAAACGTATTGTTCACATACATGAGACCGCCGCAGAAACAAGCCATCCGCGTTCTCCTTGAGGGACAAGGACGGAGAACCGAAGAGTGACCCAACAGTGGTAGCTGAGATTTACAGAGAACATTGTGCGTGCCTATATTCAGGACCAGCGTCCCCGTCACATCCACTCTTCTCAAGGCGAAACTACGAACAGCCTCTAACCGACTCGGTCTTCACGGTGGAGGACATTCGTCAACTCTTGCACAAGATCAACCCATTCTGCGCGTTCGGGCCCGACGAGGTCCATTCAAGGATCCTGAAGGAAACGTTCTCCACACTGGCAAATTATCTACACCTGGTGTTTCGTCAGTCGCTTGACGACGGCCGCCTTCCCTCTGCTTGGAAGGGAGCGATTGTCTCGCCAGTCTACAAAACTAGTGACCGACTGTCGCCTGGCAGCTACAGGCCTATAAGCCTCATTAGTGTGCCGTGCAAGTTATTGAACGCATCCTGAAGCGAGCTATCCTAGATCATCTTACTTCCACCGCTCTTGCGTGCCCAACATGCTCGTGTTTATGGGCAGCTTAACCCAGGACAAGGACGAAGGACCCATTTCGGATGCCATATTTTCCGAATTCTCAAAAGCATTTGATAGGGTCCCACACGTCCCACTGCTCCACAAACTCGCGTCTTACGGGATTCAATGGAAAACCTTCTCTGGATTAAGGCGTTCCTATCAGATAAATCATTCCGAGTGAGGATGGGCTCGACCTACTCTTCTCCAGCGCCGGTCTCCATTGGAGATCCGCAAGGCTCCGTCTTGGGACCACTCTTGTTTCTGATCTACATCAACGACCTCCCAGATTTTCTCGCAAGTCCGTCTCTACTTTTCGCGGAAGACTTGAAATCCTGGAGTTCCAATGCCAGTGCCCTCCAAATGGATGTAGACGCTGCCAAGCAGTGGTCATTTGACTGGCACCTTCCCCTGAATGGCGAAAAGTGGTCCATATATCGTTTAGAGGGGATTCAGCGAATGTCTTTGTTAGGCACGGTGAAGAGGGATCAGAAAATATCATGAGGATAGATGCCAAAAAGGATTTGTGCATTTGTGTCTCCTCAAACTTGTCCTTCTCACTGCACCATGAGAAATCGTCCCAAAAGGCATTCGCTATTTTACGGATGATCCAACGCACTTTTTCCAGTATTACTCGCATGGACTTCCAAATACTCTATGGGGCCTACGTCAGACCGCTCGTGGAATACGCCAACCGAGTTGTCTACTCAGAAGGCACGAAAGATATCACCCTCATTGAGCGTTTCCAGCGGGCCGTTACGAGAATGGTTGCCGGCCTCAAATCCGTGGACTGCGAAACGCGTCTCGCGATGCTTGATCTCTCCCCTGGAGTACCGTCGCCTCCGAGGGGACATAATTCTTACTTACGCCCTGTTCGAACAAAGCTTGGCAAACAGGCTTTACACCGTTGAACCAGCAAACACACGGCGGGGACATAGTGATAAAATTTTCAAGCTCAGAGCACACACATTCATTGGACAATTTTTTTCTAATTTCGAGTAGTAGCTTCGTGGAATGGCCTTCCTCCAACGGTTGTCAACGCTCCTAAGAACCCAGTTTAAAGCATACTGCCCCGTGCTGAGAACATAAAGTGCAGTGCTACTCCCTTTTTCGCTTGTGCCTTTCAGGTGAACGACAGCCACTGACCGACAAAAACAAAACCGACCCGGGAAACTTGGGCAAAATCCTCGATTCTGTGTATCATTCCGTGAATTCATGAATTCGTGAATGAACATTATTATGATAACGTGACCCTTTGTGGGTACAAAGTATACACCAAAGAACAACATCATTATCTTCGTCCTTGACAGAAGTACGAGAGATGGTAGCAGAAACTCACCAAATACACGCGCTATGACGCCCTAAAGGCGACCAATTTTGCAAAGCTCCGCGTTTCCTTCAGGCTGTAACAGCTCCATTCTGAGGTCAACGCATCGTTCACATACGCAGCAACACCAGATACTTCTGATCGCATGTCCCTGCTTGTCCTCTGCAAACTCCCCCATAATCACATATGCCAACTCCAGTTCGCATCGATCACATACATGAATATCGATTATCGCTTTTAAACAGGGCGGTGTCGTACCATTGAAGCAGTTGAGAATGGTGACAACATTTGGTTGTTTCTTATTTCAGGCGGCATTCTAGTTCGCATCAAAGTGCTCTCTAGCAGCTCTCTTGGACACCTTTACCTATTTTGAGTCCATAATGTGGACGCGTTGGTCTTATTACCCCGTTTGAATGGCAGCAACGAACCTCTGTGAACCCCCGACGGACCCAAGAATATCCTAACTACAATGGCGGAAATAAATGGCCCGTCCAAGATGTTCATGTACAGGGCTGTATACGGACCCATATACGGCGTTGCGATGACGCTACCGCGACTACCATACCCGGTCTGATGGTTTGCCCGTAGTCCACTACATCTCTAATATTTCCCAGACAAGCTTGTTACCTACGAGACCGTTTCATTCAATTTAATTAGTGCAGGGGCTTAAAAGCAGTGACCACCTTATTGTGGCGTCTGTATATTCCGCTCGGTAACCCAATAGTTCACCCAACGGCACTTTTGGTGGCTCGGTATATCGGTGAAGTCAAACCCTGCCTTGAGCAAGATATAACGTATGCGGACCATCATAAGAAAAAACAAAACCTCACTAGCTGGGACGAATTTCTTGGGATCGGCGGGACGCTTGCGGCTACCACAAAAGTATTTTCCATACCCAGGTCGCGAATAGCCACACCGATTTGAATTTACGCAAACGTTATAGACGTGATTATCGTCTAAGTCGTTTTGAAATTATCTCCAAATCCAATGCATAAGTAAACACGGGAATAAACAAGCTATTCCACAAAATTTCCCACCGTTATTATAGAGACGATTCTCCAGGACAACGGCAGCCATTAAAATACGAATTCCGCGCGTGCAGTGGGTTCAGGGTTCGTTTAAATAACTTCTCATAAAACTGCGGTTGCTTGGGGAGATTTTAAAGGCATGAAAAAGTACCATCAAATGCTGAAACATTGCGTTAAAGTTTTTTTCGAACCACGGTTTCAGAGAAGTTTAGGGTGGGCGTCCAGAACGCGGCCTGAAACAGGAGCACGAAATTGTGAGAAATAAGTTTCGTACGTCTATCGGTATAACCAGACGAACTAGAAATCCATAATTCAGCGCAGCGTAACGAGCAGCACGTATGCATTCGAAATGGCGAATATATACAGCATATGGAATGTTAAAACAAGAGAATAATGAATAGTGTATCAGCCATGTTCATCACAGAAATAAATTTCGAAAGTACCGCGACAACACATCAACGCAGTTGCCAGATATTCGTCAGTTGTTCTTATCACTTTTTTTCAATAATTTCTGCGGTTCATGTCATTTTTGACTTATTACTTCCACGCGCCAATGAGCACCTTGTGGCAATTGGTGGTTACCAACCCACTGCTTCGCTTGACATTCATTAAATTGCTTAGTTCCCTAGATATCAAGCTGCGACACTTGACCCGTGAACAGATTCCTTGTGCTTTCATGGGCACAACTCGCTGTCCATGCGACTGATGGCTTCGGAATAGAGTCGTTGTTTTACCACGCAATTAAATCAGAAAAGCGCGGTGGCCGAAATAATTCACTGGATCATGGGTGATGAACTCTGCGGTGGCCCCAGCGCAAGTCGTCAGCAAAAGCGGCGAAAAGTTCGTATCTCTAGCTTTTGAATGCTTCAAAAAACCTGTTTTTGGTTTGCTAACTGAACCGTTTTATTTTTCAGTCCTTTTTCCGCCGGATAGCTGATTCGTTATCATCTTTTGTGCCGACTTCCATCTTTCCCTCAAACACGGTAAGTGTCATATCTGTCACTTACTTGGTTCCAGGAATCTGATGCGTATCGGAACCTCGATGGTGATCCAGATTCTATTTCAACGATCCCTTCCACCAGACTGGGTAAAAAGTCCCAGGAAATGCGCGATTGTGACACCCAGACGCTGAACTTACTCGATAATTGTGGGGATCTTAGCGTCGACTTGGACGCACTGGAACACTCAGATGACCAAATGAGTGCACACTCGTCTACCAGCGGAGTTTCATCCCTGCTACCTCGGAAATACAAGCCACGTGGTCTCCCTCCGAATGCTTGTCCAGCCTTGCGAATGGATTGCGTTAATGATACGTATTCCCGTACGAGTGCCACGTGTTCTGACGCTGCCGATTCTATTAATTCGGCGTCGACACTTCATCCTGTGACACCTTGGATATTGTCCCTGAAAGACAACTCACCTGAAAGATTAGGTTCGGAAAGATCATCTAAACGACAACGGCTATCAAGTGTCCAGTCCAACTACAGTTCTAACTCAGATGGCTTTCAGAATTCTCTATTCTATCGTTCGAAAACCACGTATGGCGGGGCAGCTAGTTGTGGATTACCAATAAGGCGGCATGATTTATTCAAGGTAAGGATGCGCCATCTGTTTATCGGCTTTTGGAAAGCCGTGTGTTTGGTTTTTTTCTTCATCCAGTGTTGTTCAGTCGTCGCATTCATGTGACAATTCTTAGGCATCTTGTGGAATTATCCACAGCAGGCTCCTGACGTGACCGCGGTGTTAGAAAATCCAGAGCCTTAGTCTTGTATGGTATAGATCCGGTCTCCGTTTTAAGTTGTAGTAGCAATGGCTTAGCGATGGCCTACACGGCTTTCTGAAGGCATGGTGAACTATCCGTTTTGTGTAGTATTTGTCTCGCAAAACGTTCGCTATGTGGTATCGGTGATTTGTCAGTTTATCCAGTTTGTGTAAATGGAGAAATCGACACCGACTGCTTGTGTCCACATACGGCTGTGCTAGCTTTCTTTCCTGCTCTTCTGTGTCTTTTTCCTAATACTTTGGCAAGGGTTTATGGCAGCTAAGTACCCGTCGATTTTGCGGGCATGTGAAAACTGAAGATTAAGATGGACGACGTGAATCTGTCGGTGAAGTGCATTCGAATCGCTGTAAGCTCCTGCTGTTAGTTTCTAGTTCATTTAAGCTTTTTTGAACTGCACTGTTGGGATCTAACGATAGCCACAATGAACAGTGCAAACTGAAAAGTCAAACGGCTTTGCTGTCGCATACTGACCATCATCATCATTGTCAGCTGTAATAACCGCGTACTCGTCGAACAGTGGTTGTAGCTGCCGCAGTTTTGTTCACTGAGTTTTTGGGGTAGGATGGGTAGCTGCGCATTGCAGGCAGGAGATGACAAATTGGTGCATAAATCCAGCACCGACAGTGGGCTGCCAAGTAAGGGGATTGGGAAACAATGGATTGAAGGCAATAGCTTGGATGCACTAGCGCCATCGAGTTCGCGACCGGGTCATACCTGACAATGTCTCTAACAATTGATGTGGACCGCTTCGGGGTCCCCATCCAGGAAGACGGCAATCACCAGCGCAGCTGAGTTTGCTGGTAATGCTTTCACACTTCGCTGCCAAGTCATTGTTTGACTGCTTCTGGGTCTCTTCCACCCTTCACGTGGTGTGCGAAAAGCCTTTCGGGGAGGTCGCTCGACTAGCATAAGCAGCACGTGGCCAAGCCAGCACAACCTATGCAGTGTGACCGAATACTAACCGGAGAAACAAAACTCAGTGTAACGGCAGGTAAAAAGATGGCTTAGCAATTCATCCTCATAAACTCGAAACAATGGTCGGAGAATTTTGAAGGACGGTTAGCTGGCCTGCTGAATTACCACTCCCATAGACAATGCCCGTGGGTGATTAGACTGAATCTTGCTCCCGAAGAATTATGTTACCTAGTGGCTCTGGTGTCGAGGCTCCTGTCTCGAACGCTGACATCCGGGAAGACAATACTACGACCTTATCTGAAAGTGATTGACAAGGCACATTCCCTCCGATGGATTCTTGAACAGCGACGTTACTTCAAGCGCTGACTTCGCCCCTGAACTGAAGGTTATCTTTGGAGCCGCTGATCGTAGGATACTATTACAATGTGGACACGCAGATTTATGGTAACTCAGCATGAGTTAACTACATTCAGCGGTGTTCAGTGCGCGACTGTCATCCCTTGCACCTAGTCATCATGGAAGACTCATTGTCAGGGATGGCATCGTCACTGTTGAAACCGATGCTCCACTGCCGTATAACCACAATTGGTTTCATAATCAAAACCTTAAACTGACAACACAAAAGTGCACAAGAGACCTGGCGCAAGCCTACACCTTCGAACTCCAACGGTCAGTCTGGAAACCGACACACCTTCGGGGTCTTGCTGCCATGCCACCCAAAGGAAGCACGAGGACTTGGATACAACCAGGTTGTCCAAGCCTAGACAGGAGAGGTAGAACCACGCGGGTTTGAACCACTGAGCCACCTCGCCCCAGGTGATGTTATGGAATGTGTAGCTTTGACAAAGAGGTCAAACAAAATTATCAGGACCGGCATCTCGAACGCCTGCCGGATACTTCTGTACCCGACGTTAGCTCTGCAGCGATTGCTCATTATGATTAGTGCATCCGCGTCCACTGTCTACCTCGTGCTCCGTTTTGTTCCACATCCCACAACGTGCATCATGAGACATCGTGAACAACATATCAACAATAGGTTCTGTGAACTCGTAAAGGGCGGAATGCGGTTTCACATTGTTTTCACGTTACACTCGAAGTGTACAAGGACAACACGACCAATAAACACAGTCAACACACTCGCGCGCGCAGCGGGTAGGGATTCAGCCAAACACTTCCAGTCGACTGACAATTACGGAACACGTGTAGGAGCTATACTTGCGCAGAAAACACGTTCCTGTCGTCCGGACTTTCCAGGGACTCACGAGGTATCCACAAACGATAAGTCACCTTTTGACTTATTCCGTCGTTCGCGCTGTATTTGTCATGGAACAACTGGTAACTAAAAACTACTACCATATTAAAAACTGCTTTTAGTGCATACACTTTCTGAGTTGTATCACGGCAATCATAACCTGTGCACTAATAACTCCCACTGGAAACAGCTATCCACGGTGTTCACCCGAAACCTTCCTTTGCGGCACACCTCAGCCAACTTCATTCGAATACTAGATCTCTGATAGGTCAGATTCATCCTGGTCGTAACCACAGCTCAGACCGCGAATGCCGAATGATTTAAAAATGCGAAAAGTTTCGGGAACGCCCTCAAGCCACGTAGAATCATGTTACTTACAACCAGCAGTAATCTGATGCCACATCGGCCGTCGCGGGGTCTCACCAGCTGGGTCGCCTTACTTGCTGCACAGAGCAGGGCGAGTAAGCGAAAACATGTTACTTCTGACGCTTTTCCTACCCTACGCCATAAAGGTTTGAATACCTTCTCCACATATCCCATCGCTAGGACTGAACGCACTGTTTACCGTGCATCACACTTACCTGCAGCGTCTGCACGTCAGACTTGAGTACGACCCATAAACACTCCTAATTCTGTTTTCAAACCTTGGTACCCTGTCTACTTAGCTGTCATTTTTGTGTCACTACTGGAACACCATTCTTGTGGAGCCGTCGCCAGTATTCGAGTTTTACGTATGAACATTCGTGACTCTGCCGCTTGACCCACAGTAGTGGAAAAATTCAAAAAGTAGGACAGCTGTGCTAAATCAGTTGGTAGAGCATTTGCCCGGAAAGCCAGAGATATGGGTGATTGAAAACCCGCCCATAGACTCTCTTCGTTTACACTATGTGGACGTGGGTTCACATTCAAGACCAAGGTACTTTGCTGTTGTTTCGATTTTTGAGAATTTGACAGAGCCTCCTTGCTTCAGTCAACCGGTTCAATAAAAATTTCACGTGCCTTCTGAAGCCACATATATTGAGGTTATCTGAAATCGCATCATTTCGATTTGGTGTGCGTACGATGAAGTCCTCTCCCATAGGTAAACGGTGAAACTAACAGTCATTGTCTACACATAGCAGTTTTCATCTCCCCAAATGAGGCACTTCTGTCAGCACACGCCTTCCTACTGCTCCACGCACTTCCAGTTACCACGTTTCGGTCTTCGTATTGTTTTTGGTTTCAGACAACGGTACCATTGCGCTTTGAACTGGAATCTCAAGCCACAGGATCAGGATCTAATGCGCTGGGTGTTAATGGCCCAAATCTCAGCTCAACTGCACGCCGTATCCTCGAAAGTTTGGAACGCTTTACAACGCCACTGGCAACAGCCGATCGTATTCCCATGCCGCTTCATTCTCAACCTTCTACGCCAGTTTCGGTGAGTTTACCAGACCTGTACTCGGTTGTGTTGCGCATTTGGTGCTTGCTACTGTTGGTGCTCCACTGTAGTTTACAAGTCATTGCCCATGACTGTGGCAGTGCGTGGTCTTGCTGGCGGTGGTGCAACCTCTATATCGGCCCTTATTTTGCTTTCTTGTCGACTATAGTTCATCAAAAGGTGCGGTAGGTTGATAGAACCTTTTATAGAGAATTAAGTAGAATTGTCGCAGCTTTATTTATAGGGTTATCTCGGAATGCTTCACAAGAATTCACTAGAATCTCTGTGATGTGAGCCAAAAGTACCAAGCTGTAAGTGCTCGATCCTGATGGGCTGGAATTCTATCTAACCGAGTCATATTTTAGTTTGCACCATAAACTGCTTGGGACGCATCGATCCAATCTCCTCCAGACGAGCATCCCCCAAAAAACTAAGTGGAAGGTTTTCCCATGACGTAGTAGTGTATTAGCCATAAACCGTTTACTATCCTACGGTGGTTGGGAAATACTCCCTGAGTACTTCAACGAAGTACTTCGAAGTACAGTGGTTTTGGGTATGCGCCGACGATGTACGTTAGGGTACTTAGAAGCTACATTCGGAAGCCAATACCCCAGACCTAGGTTTAACTTCGAACGTGTGATTCGGTCGTGTCTCCTCCGCTGATGGTACTTATTTCGGGGTCTCTGCAGAGATTACCTCCCACCACAGCTGATTTTGGCGAGACAAAGTGCTACAACTGTGCTAGTCTATTTTAGTAAATCCTTGTAATCGGAAAAGGTCAGGAGAAGAGGGATCAAACATCCTAGCTACCTACACCTACAGCACTCAGCCAGACAATCCAAATGGGAACGGACAACATGAACGCCGCTGACACTGGTTAGCAGCCATATTGTTCAGTGTCTCCAGCCAAGCATTGCGAAGGTCACTTGGTGACGAACAGCACTGAGAGACATCTCAGCTTTCCGTAACATCATTCCCTTCTGCCATACCAATTACCTTCCACCTCTAGGTTTCTGTCACTTCGAAGTATGCACGGAAAACGGCTGAGCAACTCAGGTGGCCAAAAGTACTCAGCCTCACGATTTGACCGCTCAACTTTTTCACATGTAAGAAAGACGTTGGAATGAGTGGTTGTTTTGTCTACCGGAGGATTCTTTGTCCCTGTTGCGCGTATCACCTTGAATGGTTCACGAATGGTTCCCAGAGTTTCCCGCCTGCTCCATCTCTTTCTGGATCAACCAAGCTTCTCGATCTGCGCAGCCGCTCCTTCTAACCTATAGTCTGAAAGTTCGTCTCGCGGCATTGTACTGTTGCCTAGGAATAATACGTGTTCGAGTTTCAAGCGGTTTTGGGATTCTGTCCGAGACCCACTTTCTGGGTCTAGTTGGTTGAACCGTTCCACAAGCGAAACGCCCAGAATCTTTCAGGGTTGTGTACAACACCTTGTCCCTCTTGTCCGAAAGGGACTTCAGTAGGTAGTTCTGGTAGACTTGTTGCACATCAGGGTCTGCGAGGTTTGCGCATCTTGCACGCCCCTAAAAAGCGCAACGAAAAGCAGCAACGGATAAGCGCGTGATCCGATTCCACAAAGATGTTCCAGATCGAGCACCAGTCAGTAATTAACCCGCCCCATCTAAAGCTAACGGTGAAATGGCCTATCTGTGTTGGAGGTTGACTCGCATGCGGGGTGCAGCATGCGACCGACCGGCTCCGGTGGTTTCAGAAGTTGGTATTGCACAGAAAGTCTGTGGTCAGCGCGTAACCGCGACGGGCGCTCGCCGTTGTCTGTGCTTCCTGATTCCAATCCTAGACGTCTTCCCGGTTGAGCAGCGCTAAGTCTACCTACTTACATATCCGTTTCCCCAGCAACCACAACAATATCTGAGTTCTTAGGCACGCAAAGCGTCGTAAAAGCTGTCTGGGTTTACCAGGGCTACAATCTATTGGGATGTAAGCAGACACTGTGAACAGGCGGCGATTGTCGGTCCGTTTATAGAATACCCTCAGACGTTGCCAAACGAACCGCATAGAGGCGACGATCAACTGACAACCATTCTGCTAGGGACCATCCAGTTCAGTGGCCTAGAACAATGTCATCATCAGAAATACCAGTCGCAGCTGTTTTTGGATCACCAAGGTTGCGCAACCAGAAACGAGCAGAAACCGATGGCAAGTTAGTTCGACAACCGCACTGGGTATTGGATTGTCGTTTCAGATAAACAGCACATGTGTACGGAAAGCGAGTTCAGTGTACATGCAAGAGCAGTCTGTTGTCCGGCTTGTTTCAGACTGCGAACGTTTAAGCCTGCCAAATGAAATGAGCGAAGGGGTTCGAAGAATGACTTCGAAGTGTCTGTGGCCGTGGCGGCCGTGTTTCTCTATATTGCAGCTGACGGCAATAGGCGCTAACGAATTGACCAGTCCTTAAGAATGATCCTGCGGATACCTCACTAGTAACGGGTGAGGAGGGCAAGAGGGAATATATAGAAGGTAAAAGGGGCGTCAGCATTAGCCTGCTGTGTACAAGAAGTAAGACGACGTGGCTGATAACACCACTACGTCCGATGTAATATGAGGGCATTCGTAAGTGTGCCGTTCGTGGTTGTACGTGGGCTGGGATACTCTAGGGAACCAAAACCTAGACAAGTAATCTTCAGCTGCAACGTCCTTTCAGTGCCTAGTTGACACGTCACCCGAAAGAAGTATTAGGGCTCAGATGCTGCCAGGTTGCTCAAGCCTTAACAGGAGCAGTCAGGATGCAGAGTTTGGGTTCGAACCACAGACCTTCCGTTCAGTAAGTTCGTGCCTTAGCCACCGTGCTTTTTCGGCTAAACCGAGACAGGAGGATAATTTGGCTCAAAAACCTGAGCATAAGGTAGCAATGATCTCCGTAAAACCTCCAAAGGAGCCTACATCTTTAGTGAGCAGTTCGCCACACTTGTCAGCTCTCAATCTTCAGAATCAGGAGACTTGCTAATCAAAACGTGAACAGTGAAAACCTGATGCAGGTGTGACACCTACACTCACTAGCATAGCTTAAGCGGTTATGGAGGTGCAAAAACCGTCACATCTCTGTGGGATCCAGGTTCAGTTAGAACACCCTTTCGGTGTGTAACTACCATGCCACTCTAAAGGGGCACCTAGGGCTGGCATACTGCCAGGTTGCCCAAGCCTAGACAAGAGAAGTCGAGATGCAGAGACTGGACGCTTGTAGTAACGGTATTTTTATCAGCTTACTTCTCGTCTGCGTTTCCCAGGCTAGCGTTCAGGATATATATATATAGCGCAAACGGTAGTAAATTTCTGGAAATTCTGATGCGTTCTGGATGCGCTATTGGTAACCGGCATTCGGCCAATACTGGGTCATGATTAGCTGTTGGGTCCAGACTTTCGGCCAATCAGATTTTGGCGTGATACCGGACCGGCAATCGTCCCGATTTTTGGTCACTCTTGCGTGGGATAGGCCTCTCGACCGTAGCGGCACCTGACTGTGAGTGGTTAAGAGGGACCCGTGTGGAATTCCACTTAACACCACTACCATATCATTTTTGAGCATGCGCATTATATATTCCATGCTTTAGAAAGCTCAGTTTCTACATGTCCCCTGGGAGCTTACGGAAAGCGCTGGAGGATGTGGACAATTTTCACTACCTCGATGGTTGATTATCTCTCGTGGAAGTGTATCCCAATCTAAAACTGCCAGTGTCATGGTGGTCGGGCTGTGCTGTAATGATCCTGCGGGCTATACTCGCTGGAACTCAGTCCCTAAAAGTCGAACCATGCCAGGAAGACCAACGAGGAGCAGCGAGTCCCCATGCTGTGAATGATCGTATTACGAGGCGATCTGGAAGTAAGGTCTACGATAGGTGTGTGAAGGCATTAAGGCGTTTCCTTCAAGTGACCAGCATGTCCCTATTTATGGATGCTGCGATGCTGCCTTCCTCCTATGAAGGACGAGTTAGAAAAGGTCAGCCTCAGAACCTCAAACCGATCGCCCATCGGTTAACTGTGACCGCTGGTGCATTATTCAGTACGGTCGAAATACTTCTAAAACAAAAGGGCCCGGCGTTGCTGCTCAATTCTAAGTCTGAGAAGGACGAATTTTAACAAGGTCTGTCATTACTGCTGTGGTCAGCAAGAAAAACGGATATAGTAATCCTAGTGGGTGAAATGAATGCCCGCGTTGGATGACTAATTCCGGAAGAAGCACAGTTAGCTGGTAGATTTGGAGTCTATGCTGAGCGTACGGGTAATGGGGAACGAACTCTTCAGTTGTGCGCAAATCACCATCTGTTCCTCGTCAATACGAACTTCCAACACAAACGCTCACGCCGAATTACTTGGAGGCTACCTACCAAAAGGCAGTCGTGGACCCAGTTGGACCAAATGGCTATTAGTTACCGATGAAGAGCCTCAGTTAAAGATTGTCCTTCCTTCTGGGTGCACAGCTTTGTTCTGATCACGCCATTCTGCGGACCTGCTTAGAACTGCTTTCCGCCAGCACTACGCGTGCCGAAAGACAGCAGCCCCGTTTCAGTAGCTAAGGAGTATCGAACTGATCTGACTAGAAAGCTAATAGAAACGTACAATCATGTGGATGGTGAAGATTGCTTGGAGGTTGAATGGAGGCCACTTAAACAAGCTATGCTTCAGATTTCAGCTTTCAGTGTTCGTTCAGGCCATACGAAACGACCAAATAAACACATCGTCGAGATCAGCAGATCTTGTTACTGCTAGCATATAATCAAATCACAGTAAAGTTGCTGACAACTCTGACAACGCGCGACCTCTTTTACCCTTTTTGAACTCATCAAAGTCCAGTCGCCGTGTTTCGGTTCACTTGAACATCAAATTATATACAAGCGGCGGAGGCTAGGTTAGCGTTAACAGGAAACCTAACTCAATCGCAACTGAATCTCATGAAATTAATTCAACCGGTTAACCAAACTGGATAATGTCCACAGCTTCTGCCAGACAATGCCCTTGTAAATCAATATTTGATACCCTGCATGAACACTTGACTGAGTCCCCTAAAAACTGGTCGTATATCATCACTAATTGCTCTTTGGTCGCATGCATAAAATGGGTTCCGATTGAAAAACTACCCGCAAATTTGCCGTTAGGAGCCTTCCTAGTATTTCGCCCATGGGCTCACTTTTGAAGGGCAAACAGAAGGTAGTTCTTCTTTCTCCCATCTTAGTAAGCATCGGTGCACTAGCTATCCAGGTGTACCCAATTCTTAATACCGTAATTCAGAGGATCTCTTTGCAATCACGATTATTAGTAATATGATATATTACTTGCTTTATCCCGGTTACCGTGTTTCGCTACACGTTGTAGGCATATTACAATATCACGTCTTTCCCATTCACTGAACCGAACAAAAGGAAATTTAGGAAGAGTTAACCGGGGGAGTGATGGAACAAAAAGATTGCAGCAGAGGTTGCGAATGACTTTGCCGTAGCACCTCTGTGTTGGATTTCAAATATGGGTTAAGTGCTTAGAGACGGCCCCATTGGCATTCAGCCCCGCATCCTGAAGTATGCCGTCTGCACGACCCACCCACAAAATTCTAGATATGTATGCGGCGACCCCGAGAAAGTATCCGTTTCGCGTCCTCTGCATACATAAATATTTTTCAGCTTATCAAATACGTCCGAACGGTAACCATGTACCCTCGAACGATTGTGTACAGACAACGCAGAGGCTCAGCAGATGAAATAATCCCCGTTCATCATGTTCCCCATAATTTGTTCGGACACCAGCTTGCGTAATTGTTGGTTCAGAATTTCTCCCTAGGACGTTGCCTCCAGGATTTATTACCCCGTGTTTCACCGTCTCTGGTAGTTTGCATGTTGCACTAGCGTTTGGTCGTTCGACCATTCATTTAATTGCCCGAGCACCCCATCCCTTTTTTTCAACAGAAAAAATCTTTCAGAACCCATCGATTCCCACCATATATACAGGCATATAATCATTTGAAAACAGTTCAGCGACGGAAGTTGGACGCTTCAGGACGTCCGCCTTTGCCAGAAATTCCGATTCCCGTGGGAACTGCTTTGAGCCATATCAGGTCTGTTGCCGATAGAACAGATTCGACACCTGCTGCAGCACCCGTAACCGTGTCTTTCGGAGTGAAGTTGCCTGAATCCGCTCGTACGGAACTAGGATTTCAGCATTTACCCCTTCTTACCACTCACGTACCAACAGCATCCGTCCCTTCGGTCCCTGCACAAGCTCCCCTTCTGTCGCCTTCAGCTCCAAACCCATCACCTGAAACGTCAAAAACATTTACTTTCGCCCCTCCGCTTAAACGGTCACCGTCAATAGCGCGTCAGTTGGCTGCTTTGCCATCGTCACAGCTTCCTTCGAAATACGAGTTCTGCGCCCCAAAGCGCCTTGGTCGGTCTTCTTCGAGCATCCTGCGGTCGAACTCGATATCAGTCGAACCAACAAACATCCCCGCTTGCAGTCAACCTTCAAAATCCCTTTCCTCTCCCATATTTGAAATGATTATGTCTTCCTCTGCGACGCAGCTACCTTCTATGACCGTTTCCCAAGGTTAGTCGTGTTTGAGTTTTCATAGAATGTCCAAGTCTTGTCCACCATACGAATTGTAAGGACGCCGAGGATGCTCTTGTTTTAATTCAGTTCATATGAATAAACTTCGGGTTGTGAAAGCCGGGATGCTTTGTGGCATCGTTTCAGCTGCATTCTCGTTATCTATTTTCTCTAACTATTCACGAGTAATCTAGATCAGTTGCTGGTTCGTTGATTTGTCAGGTTTCCAATAGCACGTGTGTGACTGATTTTTAACAGCAGGGTTCCGTGTTGTCCTGCTGAGAAAATGCCATGAACATTGACATCGGCGGTTTGAACTGAGCACTATAAGTTGTTTGTGAGAAGCCAACTATGCGCGGACATCAAACTGCTGATACCTCTTAATTTCGTACCCAATGTATCAATCACTTACTCGCGGTGGAGGGATATCAGATTGCCGGACATCCTTTAACTCTGATATTATGTAGAAATTTTGGGGTGTCTTTGCTATGTTCACGGTTTACAACCGTGCCTGGAACATGCTTGTGTCATTTGCTTCATATTACTTTGCACCGTAGTAGGAGGCAGCTATCTTCGCAACCGTCTTTTACTGCTAGCTAACTTGGCTTTCTCATATTTTCGGCAGTTTCTTATGGATCCTGCAGCTTGAAGTGGATAATCCTTACAATGAAAAGTCCCTCAAGTTATTAGATCTGGCAGCTATTTCCCATCTTTGCATAGTTCCATGCTGTCCACTGACTAAAGTTTGTTTCGTATTAGCAATAGTTCCGTTATTTCAGCATCCGCGTTCGTTCGCCGATGCCGAGGGACTTTGAATATTCGAATGCATGCGGATCGGTTGATCGAGTACCCTGATGGTACGTATGATTTTTCCACAAAGTTGTGTATTGAAAAAAATCAGTTGCAGCACTCCCTTGCTACACCGTTACCATTTAGCCCGAAGAAATGTGGTTTGGGGTTCTGCCATGTTCTCGATGGAAGCAATGGAAACTTGTGTCAAATTCCACGTAAAGATGCGTTAGGACAATTAAGAAGTTGACCTCATCTGCCGTTGATGTTTGTTCTTCACGCTAACTTCATTTTCATACTCCGTTTTCTCAACAGAAGATTCGTATGTTCCCCACTATGATGTTCCTGGTCTGAGTTATCAGAACAGAGCCTGTATCTAGGTGCAACTGCGACTACACATCAATATATCGAACTAGTAGTCCCTACAACTGGGATTGAAAGATCCGTCGGTGTTCGTGAATTGCCCATTTCTAGTTTTTTGTTACGGCTGTGCCGTACCGCCAATAATCGAATGTGCATGGTTATCGCAGATTGAACTAATACTTGCACTTCAGGCTAACTGCGTGGACAGTTTATTGTAACTTAATGCCGTGTTCAATTACTCTACTTCCCATTAGCAGTAATGTACACTATGTTCAAGTGATTGTGTCTACTAACTGATCAATAGGGATGAACTCAGAAAAACTTATCAGTACATCCCCTGCTATTGAGTTGCAGTGGCCAGCAAAGTACTTCAGTTGACTCGATTGTGTCCGTAGTCGGCTTGTCGTTAATTCCGGGTGGATACGTACGTGTCCTAATACTTATTCACCCGAGGTATTGCAGGTATTAGTGTTTTCGTATACCACTGATTTTTTTGTTTGATCTTTTAAAAGTGCTGTGGTATCATTGAACTATCCTTGATTGTCACTCGACGTTCGTATTGTTTTTTAGGTAAAACTATTCCGTTCCCATTGGGCTCAATGTGGCGGTGCGAAAGTTGTCTTTTAGAAAATGCTGAGTCAAGAGACATCTGCGTAGCATGTTCAATGCCCCGACTTGAGAAAGTGCTCCAAGTGGACAGACCAGTCCCATCAATGTCGTCATCCCTGCCTACCGCTCCCCCCAAATGGGAATGCCCTGTTTGCATGATTTTTAATGAACAGGAGGTTCCAGAATGTATTGCCTGCAAGGCTAAGCGTCCTCATTCAACTAGCACGTCTTCGATGAATCCACCGGTACTTTTGCCCAGCAGCACCTGTGTGGGTAACAAATGGGAATGTCCTACGTGTATGGTATTCAACGAGTCTCTGCAAACTTCCTGTGTTTGTTGTCAAACTGGCAAACCAGGCAACAAATTGGGGGACTTGACATCCCAGGCAACTAGTGCGGATTGGGAATGTCCAACTTGTATGGTCAGAAACTCAACCACCAAGCAATCCTGTCCCTGTTGTTCAACCCCGAAACCAAACACCTTGCGGTCCAGCAGCGCTTCGCCATTCGGAGTTCCTACACCTGTCGTCAGCTTCCCGATTAAATTTGGTCTTTTCGGTTCTTCACAAACCAGTTCAACTTCGACTACATCTTTGGGTGTGACCCGAAATTCCGGGCTCAACTCGGTTGTCACAATCCCTCATTCTGATGTCAGTAACAGCGAAAAAGTAACCGAGCCACTTAAATCATCTGCACCTGTTTTGACTTTCGGTGTACCAACTCCTTGTGTCATTACTCAGCCAACTTCGACATCTACTGTATCCTTGACGGTGGGCACTTGTGCCGTCAGTGCATCAAGTTCATCTAGCTTTATCTTTACACCATTCACCTCTGCGACTGGAGTCTCAGTGGCATCTTCTGTTTCCTTAGTGACTCCAGTACTCAATTTCGGTTCATTGGGCAAGCGTTGTCTGTCTGGTGCCATGCCACATGCCACATCTGACTTTCAATTTGGCCTTCCAAATGCTCCTGAATCCCAAATCCCCGCTCCAAACGGGTTGGTCAACGGTGGGACTGTTGAACTTTTTACGTCGAAGTCAGTCCCTTCGTTCAACTTTTTTGCCGCCCAGCCTGAGTCCTCGAAGAATCAAACCATACCAGTTAGTCTCACTACACCGTCACAGCCGACAGCGCCTTTTCCGTTCGCTTCAACTACGAGTGTCTCTGAGAATGCCACTACATCAGATGGTTTTACTGTTTCATCCTCTGTTTTTCCGAAATTCGGTGCTGTCGACGGTCTCTCGACACCTGCATTTCCCCCCACAGCCAGTGGTCTCTTTTGCTTCGGTGCCGCTGGAAAGTCATCAGACCAGTCTCTGAATTCCAATTCCCAACCCTTCGTTTTTGGTCAAGGGTAAGTCCTATAGGCTATAGGTTTGTGATGTAATCGTTCTGCCATAACACTTTCGGTGTCTAGATTTCCTTCCATCAGTAGGGAGGAACGAAGACTGAGATACTGGCAGATTGCCAACGCCTAGAGCAGTTGAGATACCGGGCCGGACTGAAATCACGGACCATCCGGTCAGTAAGTTCGTGCCATAACCACTAAGCTATCTTAGGGTTTAGAGATTGACCGTCACTAGTATTAGACTGCCTTGTTGGCGTTTGGGTGGGAACTTCAGCGCTCTTATTATAACTGGACAGCAATTTCGAGATATTATAATCCGTTTCACGCAAGCTGTTTCGATTAAGTACCACGGGAACTTCAATCGATTCAATAAACTCGCCTTTTGGTTGTGTGCTGTGTGTCTTTTGTTACCACACATATATCTTCGCGTCATGCTTCCTTATAAGTCAGACTTTTTGGGCATCAGTCTCGGTCATTTTTCCATGAATTTACAGTGATAATGTGTTGGGACTATTTGCGCTCCATGTCGTCTATCGAGCTTGTTCGTTCTGCGTCTACTCTGTTGAAATTGGGACTCCTGATTCCATCAGACTTCCATATTGTATCCCGAATGGCGCTGCGCAGCATATTCGTCAACTTTATTTTCCACCCTCAGTTCATAGTATTCTCCTTGTGCTCTCATGGTATAGTATAGAAACGAATGCTTCAGCTGAATTTAGTGCAACACGACCCAGAGGACAATGCAGAACTGTTTAGTCTTCCCCGAGGTTCTGAGTTTTGTAATGGATAGTTTGTATCAAGCGATCGCTATAAAAGGTGTTACCCTACCTTCTTGAGAGTAATCACTATATCGCCGACGGAATCTGCCTAACTCTCAGTACTCGATAGATGGCTCTCACTGCTCCGAAGCCATCCTTGCTCTTGATTTTATGCTGCTCGTACTCTTCTGTGGTCTTTTACATTGGTTCCCTTCTAAACGGTAGATTGTTGCAATTGTAGCATCCTTTCGCCTCTTGATTACAATTTACCCTGATCAGGACACGATGTTTGTAGTTTTAGCGTGTGGGGGTAGTTCAGGATATGGAGCACGAGCTTCTGATGACCACACCTACGTTTTGAATCCAGCCTTCATTTTTGCGTGCTTTTGTTCTTCCACTTACGTGGCAGCTGCAGATCAAAAGGGTGGAACAGCTGAGTCATCATAATTGATTCGCCTCAAACCACCTAAGCCACTATATCCCGAGTCAGTTTCAAAAATTTCCTTAACAGCTGCAATCGAAGAGCGACCTGCATAGATCGTAATCAAGTGCTGATTCCAGCGATGGAGTTTGTTGATGGCGTGAAGACCATGCTGCTCCATATCACCTTCAAGCCTTATCTTCAGTTGTCATCCAGGGCAAGACCGCCCATCCCCGCTTGATATAGCGACTAAGGCTTTTTATGGAAATTGCAGCATCACTGCTGCGCAATAACTGTCCAAGCCATTGTGTGCCTTGTCAAAGGACCTTAGATAGGCGTAATAAGCCATGGCGACAGCGCTTTAAGATCTCGCTGTTAGACCATATATTTATGGGTAATGAACTTTTCGCACAAGTGAATAAAAGCCTATTACTCCCAAATGCCCTTTGGCGTGGAGTTCACGTTTCGCCAGCGTGGCGGGTCGTCGCGTTGATGAGCCGAGGTTTTTGTGTACCTGTTAATTCCACTTCTTTAGAACAGTGTGCTGTTCAGCCGCATGAAAGCATGTGTAGCGCTATTAGTCCGTTGCATGAGATGACTTACTCCATTTATCTAAATTCCATACCACTTCTTCCTCTCTTCGCTATGATGATAAGTCAAACGCGTTCGGACAGGTATAGGAAATTTGGTCGTTGTGGTGTATGTTGAAGTTCTTCCACACTTCTCGCTCAACAGGATGTCATCAGTCTATTCCAAGCTATTACCCAGGCTTGAGACTCAGATGAACACTAGAGTATGCATCCAATACCTGAAATCTTTGGCTTACCGGGTGAGTGCTCTTCCAACTGACCAACCCCAAACACTTTCCCAGGTAGCGGTAATTTAGTTGGCACAACGGCTGATAAATCTTTTCGTTGGCATCGTATGTTCATAGGTCCACTCAAGATTAACCAACTTTGTGAGCATGCCATCAACTGAAAGGACTGTCCACGTTCATTCCCGATCACCAAAGTCAAACGCGTTTCGAAATGCAACGAAGTGTTCTCTGACAGGTTGGTGAAGTTATCGTCATTCTTAGGTCTAGCGTAGTACTAATGTTCGGACCGCATGCAAATGCTCTGGCCGCAATATCGGTCAGGTTTACTGCACGATAATGAGCACAAACGATCTATCGCCTTTTGGCTGAAGCCAAATGGACGATGTACGTAGAGAGTGGTCCCTTGCAACTCATTCGGCCATCCCAGTCGCCTGCTACCAGTAACACCTCACCATCATGTCTTGTAACTTTGAGCTTGTGCTGAACTGGAGATTTGGTGAAGTTCTTGATAGTCAGTAACATATTGATATTCTTCCGCATAACATGAGCACACTAGCTGCGACGGACTTTACGGGGGAAATGGAAGAAGCTGATCATGAGCGGCGAATTTCTTGTTTTTCTAAACGGAGACCTGAATGGACGGAAACTAGTGTCACCGAACTCCAGTAGATAGCGAATTTGTTGCGGTATAGCTGTTCCACCCTACTGAGTTCGAGGCTTTTCGTAGTGAGGTCGATTTTGGTGGTGTTATATAATTCTGCTGGTTGTTGTTCATCATCGGATTTGGCATCCTACAATCTTGTTTTTCATAGCCTGTTTTTTTCTTGAAAGACGGCCTCTTTTCAAACTACTCAGAAAATTCCATATTACCTTCTCGAAGCCCCACTCTGTTTTGCTAGCCCGTTTTCGTCCATTTATCCTCATTCATCTTTTCCGATATGGCTAACCCAGTGATGCAGCCCGTGGTGCACTAGCATCCCATTAATTTTCCCACCAAGCCATTGTTATAGTTTGAACCCCGACTATACGTTCCGGTTTTTGTTTTCCTGACCAGTTCTCCATTTCTCACCACCGACACTGTGGCGTACCTGACCTGTATTTGACCTTCATGGTTGTTCCTCTCATTCTGGTTTCAGTGGTTCGCAGCCGACTAGTAATGTGTTCTCAGTCAATTCTACGGCCCCTCGAAAGAAGGCTCACGCAGTTCGGCGCTTCCAGCGATGATCCATCCTTTTGAACTCCATACTTTATTGTTCCACTCATTCAATGAACCTTGCTTCAGATCCGATCAATCTTACGCGCTACACGTGCACCTGGAACTCAACAATGTTTGCATCGCCTTTGTACATAAATTGACTGCGGAATATTTTTTCACTCTTCTGTACAAAACTATCTGCCTTTCCAGAGTTTCTGTCAATCACGTGCTATGCCAGCCTTGTTCAATTCCAGGTGTATCAGACTGAGGAGGTGACCCTTCCATTGTACATTCCCCCTTCGGAATACCGGTCGAAGTTACCATATTTCTCCGGTTTTCCCTACCCGGTTGTTGCAATGTCTATTTTGTTCAGTTCCCCCACTGATCCTGCATCTCACACTATCCTGCAATGCACTAGTACTCATGCGCGATCCTTACCCGGCTTCTATATTAATTTTTGGTTTCAGTGCACCCAGAGTTTTGCGTTACCTGTTCATACGTCTTTTCTATACTGCATCACCGTTAGCTAATTTTGAATTTACCAGGGATGCCCGCCTGAGTATCGGGATTTTACTTAATTTGTTATCATGAACGCCTGTTTACTCTGTTCTTAGTACGAGGGAATTTAGACATTTTCAATTGAGATTTCATCCCGTAAGTGAGGCTAATTTATGGTGAAAAGTTGGGAGGTGTTACTAAACGGTTTTGTAGATTCATGTCCCCATCTATGCTTCTGAGTAGTAAGCTCTCAAGATCTGGTACGTAGCACAAGTGCTGCGCTTTTCAAAGTTCTGAATGTTCGACCTGATCGACTAGATCTTGTGGTTTGCTCAGAGTCGATGTTACTCTGCATAAGCCAGTGGCAGATCCAACGGTTTCATTTAGTTTCCACTAGGTGGGATGTGCTTACTGTAGTCGCGTTGAAACGAAATGGCTTCCAATCGGTAGCCACTTAAATTATGCAGTCAAATTCGTATGCCTATATGTATGTCTGCTGGAAGCAGCTGAACTTTATGATCTTCACTGGGTTGTTTGTCGCTTTGATACGCGTCTAGTGAATTGAGTTCGACCAGGTGCAGAAGAAATTCTCCACTGTCACGTCAAACGATTAATGATAGCATCTGGAATTTTAAAAACTGAAAAATCAAAAATTGCGCGGTTTTAGGAGTTAGATCTCCCACCTAACTCCGCGTCTTTACACTTCGTGTGTCCGCTGTCCATCGCAATTGTGTGAAGAGTCGCGCCCCAGTGCTATCTAGGTTGGACAACCCTCATGGGATCAGTTTGTCGTTCTTTTTGTGAAATCGATTTCAGCGCACCTTTGGCGTTTTGCGGAGGTCTCAAATTATACGGAAATCTTTTCACTTATTTGCTCCACTGAAAGTGACATTTTAACGCCATAAGTAATACATGTTACGGAGTTCTGGTACCGACTTAATGCAACAACCAGACTTTAAAAATAATCTTTCAGCTGTGACAACCTTTCGGTGCCTAGCTGCTATGACACCCCAAAAAGCACGAGTAAAGTTTGTCGTTCTTTTTGTGAAATCGATTTCAGCGCACCTTTGGCGTTTTGCGGAGGTCTCAAATTATACGGAAATCTTTTCACTTATTTGCTCCACTGAAAGTGACATTTTAACGCCATAAGTAATACATGTTACGGAGTTCTGGTACCGACTTAATGCAACAACCAGACTTTAAAAATAATCTTTCAGCTGTGACAACCTTTCGGTGCCTAGCTGCTATGACACCCCAAAAAAGCACGAGTAATGCGATACTGCCAGGTTTCCCAAGCCCAAACAGGGTAGGCCTAATCGCAGATATCGGCAGTAAATTCGCACTCTAACTACCGCGCCAGTCTCATTCAACCGTCGTCCTATTCCAGCATGTTTTGGAAGTGCTTAGAGGCCGAGACTCAGTAGATCGAGGTGGTCACAACTCGTGCCGTTTCTAACCGCGTTTTGTGGAATCTGGATTGGTGAACTCCCTGATTTCATCTCATCGGGATGACCCTTGGCGAAAAAGTGACCAAGCTTTCGACTTTCTTGAACTTGTGATAATTGCGGTGAAATGATTGTGCAATGCTGGGCACACCAAAGTATAGCAGAATGAGACTAAGAACGTTAACAAATTCTTAAAACATGGGAGTTGATCCGCTCGAAATCACTTGCTCCTACCCGGACAGTACCAATCAACCTGTTGAGGCATTTAATATTATTCAATAGGAAAAGATCCCCAAATTGCTGTATGACAACCGGGCACCAAAGACAAAAGATGCTTGCAGAAAGGAGTAACCAACCATTGGTCCGTAAAGTGTAACCCCCGTTGGGACCGAATACGTTTTCTCCTTGATTGTCACTACCAAGGATAGAAATGCAATCTGGTAGAGTATCACAACCCTGGTCAGATTAAGAGATCCTGTGACTTTCCAACTTAAGTTGTGGAAAATGTCAACTTTAGTTGTCCAGGTGCTAGTGGCGGACAGTAAAGGGATCAACTGCGTAGACTCGGTGGTTGACTTGTGTATTGGCAAGGGCTTACTTGCTGTGTGAAAGCTCAAATACGCTACTCGATAAATTGAGCTGGAGTTCGGTTTCTCACCTAAGTAATTTGCCACAACTCCAGTGCAGCTCATTGACTCTGAAATCGTTTTAGCAAGTCCATGTAGTTGGCAACTAATACTGGCAGTCCTGACTAGCCGTTGCGGGCTGGGGTATGGACGTGACAGATCATCAACAGGTGAACCTCCCCAGCGTTCTCACGCAACAGCGACGCCGACCACAGTCGATTAACGAGGAGCCTCACGTACTACGCACTCCTAAACCCAAGTCATGACTGGAGCACATCTGACGTAGACTTTCAGCTCAAACCGAGGCAAGTCGGCACTGATGACACCATTTCAACTTCACCTGACTTATCTATGGAACGATGTATTTTAAGCAGCAAATTCCACAAAAACTGGTGTCACAGTGGCTGCAAACGATACGAAAAAAATGCCACGAAAATTTCCGAGATATTCCGTTACTGTTCACCTAGGTTGTGTCACCAATGACTACAAGGTTGATATACCAAACTGAAGGGGTGGTTCGTACAACGAATACTATTTCCTGGATCAATTTATCAAGGAAATTCCTGTAGGCCGCTATTCAGTCCTGCACAAAGTTTGACTCAGGACCACATGGAAGCAGTTTCCCAAAACTCCCCTCTGAAATGTGATTCTGAATCCGACAAGATAGCATTGGAAAAACTGACTTGATCAGGCTGTGTTCGGGCCCTGTCACTAGGAGCTTACGGTAACAGGTTCCATCCCAAAGTGAGCTGATATAAGGTGGTGGCTGAATGCGCTGCCGGTGATCCCCAAATGAGACGAAAAACCTGTGCAGTGCTTGGCTTTCTGGCATAGATCAACGAAACTTCGACTGTAGAATTGTCCAGCCTCATACTATCAGTAAACCTTAAGTAGTGCAGAAGGGAGAAAAGCAAGTGAACCTTCTTTCTGAATCGCACCACCTTGGGCATCAATGAGATACGCATTGCTGATAAATTTTAATAGAAATGAAATAGTTATGCAGCACTTTTCGGCGTTTCGGCATAGACTGAATTTGACTGCAGGATGAAATTAACCTAAAAATTCACAAATACTATATGCTTGTGAGTAATTGAAAGAACTATGGCCTCGTTTTCGAAAAAGTTTGGTGACAATCGGTAGATTTATTGCTGGGCAACGTTTCGCTTTTGGCACAAAAGCTTCGTCAGGCCAAGTGACTAGGTTCCGAGTTTGATCGAGATTTAAGGCGGAGGGAGGACCAATCAGCTAAGTCAAGCTAAATCTCTGTTGGGTGTCGGCTGAGGGATTTTAGTGTGTTAGAGTGGTTGAACAAGTGTTGGGTTGGTGGGAAACCTACATGTGTTTGGGTCCTGCCTAGGGTCTAGTTCTTCTGGTTCGGTTCATTTGATGGTTCGTTTTGAACTTCGTTTGAACTTTCTGTCAGTCTGTGTAGATGAGCTAGTACTAACAAAGTTGTGTAAGAGGGATGCTGTGACTGGTTGGTTGGGGTTTCCACCCCCATGCCAGCAATAAATCTACCGACTGTCACCAAACGTTTTCGAAAACGATGACTACCCAATTGGTTTCAAGTATTTTCCACTTGATTGAACTATGGCCTCGTTTCATAATGGAAACTACTCACAAGGTTGCTGAGAACTGTTTTCGTCGGAAAACTTTGATTGGGCAGATATACCGGGCAAAGTACGTTGCTCTTAATCTCCGTCAAAGATAGGGATGGCATATGAATCCAAGTTTGTATCACAGCTTCCACTATCTAAACAAGCAAAACACCCTCGCTTTCGTGGTATGATTAAAAAACATCCCAAATTAGAAGGTGGGCAATTTTTTATCAGAATTCCCACGGATAGCCCTATTCTTCAACATTCTCGAAATCCAGGTTTGGTGTATTTGTCTTCACTGCAACCTTGTCTACCTGACTAGAAAATGCCAGGTACTGGTTGTGGGATGCTGGCTTGGGTACCGATTGAGAGGAACGAACAAGAGAGGACTTGTGCAGAGACTCGAATACTCCTTTACAAAAGAACTGCTGGGGCAGCATTTCCACAATTACTGGACCGATTCCTCGATCAGCAAATCATTGCTGTTAGACATTGTCATGTGATGTAAGCCCAGCGCTATATCATGACTCTAGCCCACGTGGTTTTTTGAGACTGCAAATAAGTATGTCACCAATACATGAGTAGAAGTCAGTACATCGACCGATCACTGTGTCAGGTGTGTGATTTTCCGATCTGGATATGTCAGGAATACGTTGGCAAGAATAGACGTGTGTAAAAACCTTGTACAAAACCACGATTTGATGATAAGTTATATTATTGAAGTTAAAGTGAAATCCTGGATACAAAGTGAAGTAAAGTCTGTTTGTTCTGTTTTGGGACTGTCATCCCATCCGACATATCCAGTAAAGCCAAAAATAAATTCCATCGTTCCTTTCAGCGATACACTCACAAAAATAGACGAAATAAGGGGAAACATATTGTGGCTCACCAGTTGACTATTTGCACAATGTAGAAAAATTGCAAGTGTTCTCAAGGTAGCGAGCGGGTTGCTTATTACTGCCCTTTTGGTTGTTTTGGTGGAAACCCAGTTTTGGTCAGAACCTGATAGGAGTAGCCGAACAAGCATAATCTTGATAGTTCGATTAGACGGTACAGCATAGGAGTCACTACACCAGTTGGACTGAG